TGTCGATGAGCCTCTCTACCCCCAAAACAACGCAATCAAGAATGGGGCTTCGATGGGGCTAATTGAGGCCAAAACTTGGTCCAATATGATCAATGACAAAATTCCCAAAATTGCCCCCAAAACTCCGATCATGACGCCGCCCGGCGAGCCGGAGACCATTAATGTTTGGGAAGTCATGGAAGGCCTCGATGACAATAGTCCCTTCCGTCCGACATGTCGGCCTCGAAGCTTCTCCTTCGATGTCAGTTCAAATCCGATATGTGTTTCCTTAGAACAGGGGAATTCAAATTTGAAGGAAACTAACGATACCTTCACTTCCTATAAACCATTCTGGCTTCAAGAAACGGGTAATAATTCTTTTTCCGTTTGAAATTCATCTCAATTCAAAGTATAAATCTTTTATCGATAACGTTCGCTTCACAATCTGGATTCCTCTGTTTCATTGTTGGGTTTCAGATTTGGACCCTGATATGATATCTTCGTTTAGGAAATCCTTAGAGGAGCTTCCGCAGGAGGAGGAGGACCCATTTCATCTCCGGCCACCGGAGGACGAATCATCGGGTAAACACAAAGTTGTGGTGTACTTCACGAGCCTGAGAGGGATTCGAAAGACATACGAGGACTGTTGTGACGTGAGGATGATCTTGAGATCCATGGGAGCTCGAGTGGACGAACGGGACGTGTCGATGGATTCAGGGTTCAAACAGGAGCTAAAGGAGCTACTCGGGGAAGGGTTCAACGGCGGCAGACTGCCGAGAGTATTCGTGGGAGAAACGTACATTGGTGGGGCAGAGGAAATTAGGAGGCTGCACGAAGATGGGGAGCTGGAGAAGGTACTGGAAGGGTGCGAGAAAATGGAGGAGGGCGGCGGTGGGGTAGGCGGAGAGAGTGGCGTCAGTGGAGGCGGTGGTGGGTGTTGTGAGGGTTGTGGGGAAGTGAGGTTTGTGCCATGTGAGAGGTGTTCTGGAAGCTGCAAAATTTACTATGAAGAAGGTGAAGAGGAGGAAGAAGAAGAGGGCGGATTCCAGCGATGTCCTGATTGTAATGAAAATGGGTTAATTCGTTGTCCCATTTGTTGTTGTTAGTGTAATTCAAACAAATTTTGTTCTTTTTGGTTGTTGTACAGTGAAGAACAGGATTTGGTTTGTTGTTTTGGGGAGAGTTGAGATTGGATGTGAAAATTTTCAGCTAATACGAAGAAAAAACACCGTTATTTATGCTCAAAATGCTGTTTTAATTCTGCTTATAACTCTAATGGACTTTTCTTTCTTTTTCTTTTTTCTATTGTACCGATCACAAAAATTATTCGATAAACTGTTTTTATACAGGAGTTAGTGAGGTCAACGGTCAACCGTCAACGGTCAACGGTCAACGGTCAACTCACATATTGGAGAGGTTGAGGATGCTGACAGGAGAAGCTGAAAATTCCTCCAATTTGGTTTCTTTTGGATTTGATTTATTGTTTGGACCCGAAGACCAATTCTTGTTCGATAGCAACTTGGCCGTTACTTATTACCGTCAACAGAGTTTTAAAATGCGTATGCTAACGAGAAGTTTTTAAGTTTTAAAATGCGTATGCTAACGAGAAGTTTTTAAACCCTTATAAGGAATGTTTAGTTCCCTTCTACAATCGACGTGAGATCACAAAATTTATATAATAGCCCAAGTCCACAACTCACAAATATAGTTAGTTTTGGGCTTTCTCTTTCCGATTTCATTCAAGACTTTTAAAACGTGTATGCTAGGGAGAGGTTTCCATCCCTTATTATGAATGTTTCGTTTCCCTCTCCAATCGATGTGAGATCTCACAATCCACCTTCCTTTGAACCTAGCATCTTCACTGACACTCTCATTCAAATGTAGTCTCGGTTCATTCATATATCATTCATTTATTCAAGTGTCACAGAGAAATTATGTTAAATCCTTTAACACATTTCTCATAGTATAAAACAAAGGTTGAAATTATTATTATTGAAGAATAATTTTAAAAGAGAGTTCTTATGAAGAAATTCTTTATTTGTTGTAGAATTAGAGTAGAGAGTAGTAGTTTTATAATGTCATATCATCATAAACTAAAATAATAGTAAATGATTTGTTGAGTTGGCATAGAAATAGACTTTGGTAATAGACCATATACTATATTGTTGAATCTAATGCAAGGGCAAATATAAGAGCTTATGGAGTTCCACAAAGTTTTTGACATATTTGATTTGAATTATATTCAATTTTTCTTCAACTACTTCCATATTATATAAATTGAACGTAGGATTATAGGACACTTAAGATAATACAAATTCTTCTGGATTAATGAAGCTTCAAGGTAAGAATTCATAATTTCGTGAAAATCTATGATGATGCAGATAGTTTCAAAGCTTTTGATTTGTGCCTAATAAGAATATGAACTTTGGAGAGAAACGAAGAAAATCGAAAGAACGAAAAGAATGAGAGATTCCTAGAAGATTTGATCGAAAGGGTATCGGGTAAATTACAGGGAAGAAGCAAGTCAATTTCACAAAAAGATGAAAAATTTAAAGACATTCTCAAAGTTAATCCATAACCCAGATATTGAAATGGAAACCTAAAACAAACCCATTAGCCAAAACAATCAAAAGAAGAGATAAACAAAAGTTAAGAAGCTATTGGAAACTTTTCTCATGGCGTACCTGTTTGAAGCTCGGAGAGAAGAAGAGGAGAGGGGGCCGACGTTCTTTTGTTTTTGGTATCAGTTTGGTTGGTGATGGTACTACACTCAACTTTTGGACAAACCACGAATGAGCGGTGAGGTACCCCGATTGAACAAGTGTGGTTTTGGATTAAACTTTTTTTATCTTGTTCATTGCACTCATTGATAGTTTGGATGCATCTAGTAATAACCCAAGTCCACCACTAGTTCATATTGTTTGCATTAGTCCGTTACGTATTACCGTCAGTCTCACGATTTTCAAACGCGTCTACTAAGAAAATGTTTAGGGTTTAAGATTTAAGGCGTCTGATCTTACACACCCCCCATTTTTCTCTCCCATCATGAGTCAGCACAAAGCATTTATACACACAACTAACCACAACCTTAGCATTTATACACACAACAAACCACAAGCTCGTTTATCAATGACATTTCACGCATACCCATTTCAAATCATCTCCTCCCTTTATTTACCGACCAAGAATCTCATCAGAAATTTTGAGACGTTCTAGACAGGTACAAGATTAGACCTCTAAAGTTCAACTATTACTTTGATTGACCTATATGGATCAGCCAGATTGATGGCTAACCGACTTCGGTTGGCTCGACCCATAATCAACCCATATGGGTCGGGTCAGGTCGACTCACACATTTATTGTAGCTAATCCAAATGGGTCTACCAAACAATCATTGTGGTTGACCCACAAAGGTGGGTCACAACCTCATCTTTAGGGTTTGACACATGAATGGGACGCAAGGCTATTCCTTGTTATTCGTTTCTCCTTTAGGATCAATAGGGTTTAGGCTGTGGGGGCAATGTTACTAAGTCCCCATTCTCGTGTTGAGTTCATGAGACAATCATCCATCAAACAAGTAAAGATTATCAAAGTTGAAACTTAAAATCTTCAAGATCATTACAACTTTAACCACCAAGCTATGTTTAGGTCTCATCTATCACAATAATGTCTCCATACACCTAAAACAAATTTAAAAAAAAGTTCGAGAATATGGTGATATTAATTAGAACCGACATTGATTTATTAATTCATGCAATAATTTATTGTTTTCCCTCAACAAAAAGTAGAAAGCGATATAAGAGAATGAAATAAAGGTAGAGAAGGAGAGGGTCCATCTCTCTCATTCGTGTTTTTTTTTTTTTTCTTTTCAAACTTACTATTAAGTTTTGAAAATGACTTCACCGTTCAATCTATATGCAAATTTTTCTTTCTTTTTTTACTACGAACACTTTGATTAATTTACTAAAGTGGTTTAAAATTTTCATGTGTTCTTTCTTCGTGAAAAGAAGTATACATTTAATTGTGTTATGGACCACAAACAAAGTAAGAAACAAAATGGGGACATGCATTTAATGTCCCTATAATTTGCAATCAAATGGTTCAAATTCAGACATTTTCATCGATTCATCACGTGACATGACTATTGATTTTCATATTAAAAAAATTATGTCGGACTGATACATGAATAAACTAAGACTACATTTGAATGAAAGGAACTCTGTCGTTAAGTTTAAAACAACATGTGCTCCACCATTAAGGGACATCTTATCCATTTGTGTTATGCTCGGGTTATATCTAATACATACTATTTTTTTAATAGAAAAGTTGTCGGTATGAAATTAAATAGGTAAATAATTAGTAACTTGAACTTTATAATATATATATATATAGAAAAAGTATGTTGATGAACAACCAAGCACATGCCTCGGTCTGTTAATCTAATTGCAAGTGGAAATGGGTCATAGTTGATTACACTTAAAAATGGGTCTAAATATTATTAACAAATCAAATGCTATTATGTGTTTCTTTTCTGACCTCTAAAAAGGTATTTATATATATTAAATCATATCTAGAAAATTAAATTCAAGACTTTTTTTTAATTAATCACGATGTTGATTAATTTACCTAACTAATAATACTGCTTTTCAAAAGTGGATTTGACACTTAAACAAAAATCTACAAAATTCTTTTACTTAATCTATAATCGTTTTGAATATTATTTACAAATATAATAAGTTTTTAAATTTTGATCCGTTTAATCTCTAAATTTTAAAAAATGTTGAAGATGTGAAAGCCCCTTTTTTTGGGATTCCTTTCTTTGTTTTCTGTCCTTTAATCAATTATAATAGCAGATGTGATGTTAAAGCTAAAGAACTTTTGAGTTAATTGGGGTGCCCCATTAGAAGCTTACTTAGCTTGCTAAATTAGTCAATGGTCCCTGCAAATGCTGCATTTTTATAAGCTAATTAGATATTCATTTTTTGGGTGTATTTTTACAATTAACTTCTGTTATACATTTGGGTTACATCCCTATATATATAATAATAATAATAATAATAAAGGGACGTCTCTCTTTTCATGGAAAATACACCCATTTTTTGATCTAAGCGACCAAAAACCTAGAAAAGGGAATATAAAAAGACCCATATAAATAACATAGTAACATCAAATCCGATATAAATAAGAATAATATAGATATATATATATATATATCAATACCAAACCCGACACGGTTGTTCTTGTTCTTGTTCTTGTTCTATTGCATAATTAAGCTCCTGATGATGGCTGCCTCGGCGCTATCAGAATCTATTGTAGATAAGAGCTGAGAGAGTCTTTCACTTAGGTCATCCACCTCCCTATGCAAGTTTCTAATGTAATTGCAGGTTTCATGGAGGACTTTTGAAGCTGATACCTGAAGAAATTAATAAACCTAATAATTAGCTTAATTTCATGTATATAATAAAGTCAAATCTTAAATTTAACAAAAAAAACAAACACTTGGTAATTAGCTACTAATGTTGGTGTTAAATTCTTTAATTGACTAGACCAGGACATTAAAGCGTGGACTTTTGGTTTTGAAAACAAAAATGTGCCCCCTCCCTGAGAAGAAATTTTGAGTATGTACCTTGTCGGGGCGGCGGTGGCGAATCTCGGGGACGAGTTGACGGAGCTTGGAGAGGAGGTCGATGATTTGGTCATCGCTGATTCTTGAAGCGCCTGAGTGCCTTGATCTTCTGGTGGACATTTTGGTGAGTGAGGTTGAAGGTTATGTGGAGTTGAAGATGGAGAGGCAGTTGGAGTAGAAAAGGTGTTGGGTTTGAAGGAATGGAAGGGAAGTGATAAGAGGGTTATAAAGAGAAAGGACCACAAAGGAAAACACTTTGGGTAGTTGTTTTTATGTTCCCAAGTTGGGGATTCAACTCAAGTGGGCTTCCTCAAATATGTTTGCTTTTTGTGTTAACAGTGGGCCTTCCTTGTACATCTCTCCTTCCACAACTCCATGTGATTCCAATTACAAAACCAACACACACACACACACACAATTTCTTACCCTTTTACCCCGTTCAGGTGTAGACGCGTTTTAAAATTGTGAAGCTGACGATGACACATAATGATAGATTTGGGTCGTTACACATTGTCTTTCTGAACAAGATCTAGTTTTCACATCTTCGAACAATCATTTGAGAGGAATAGAAACAATGTGATGGAAGAGACTGTTTCTTTTAAATCAAGTCATTGGACAAAGACATGTGCAATTAATAAATTAAAAGAGCTCAAGTTCCGAGAGGACAACGTTGAAATAATGTACTAACCTTATAATGCTACCGAGAAAACAACTTGAGGATTGGTAAGCAGCACTCCGATAAAATAGGGTAATGCTTATGGTATCTTAATGTTTGGATGAAAAGGATGAAAGGAGCCATCGTTTTTTAATTACTTTTTAAACATAGGAGGTTGAAACGGTGTCGTTAGTGTCTTAATACCTTTGCAACTACTTTAAATTAAACTATTTTGGTGTAATTTGAGGAAGGAAAATACGTGGAAATAAAGTAGAATATTTTATGAAAAAGAAAATTAAATAATGAGATAACAACATAGGGATACTTTTTGTATTGATACGTGACATGTCCTTAAATTAAATTTAATAGAGAATCTAATTAATGAGGCTTAATTAAATTAATTAAATGCATAAATAACCTTTTTTTTTTCTTTTTAATTGACGTCATAGAGAGAGAGAATTGTTGATGAGTGAGACAGAGAGATAGATTTGCAGAAGATTGTGTGAAAGGGCAAAGTCACATGCAAGTTCCCAAGAGCAAACGACATGCCACGTGGCAGGGCTTAGATTCTAGTACTGTTTTTTTTTTTTTTTTTTTTTTTTTTTTTTTT